CAAAAACAGAACACTGAACCTGTGCGTAGTTGGCAGGTGCTCTTGTGTGTATAGGGACAATTTTTGGGGGGTTTTTTGTTGTTGTTTTTTTGGACTCGTATTGACAGAGGCCTGGGTCAGCAGAAAAAGCCAAATCGGAGCAGCCAGCACGGAAGTGGCAAATGTAAAAGTAGGTCACAAAATGTCACGGCAACATGCGCAGCTATAACATCACATGGAGGGGGGGGGAGATTTTTTTTATTTAAAGGGGGGGGGGAGATTTTTTTATTTAAAGGGGGGGGGTAGCTTAGCTCAGTCGTCAGACCCGATCCGTTTGAGTCTACTCTAGTTTTAGTAAGTGTTTTACGGCACTTGCAGCACAATTAGGCCACATAAATAAGTACTGAAGATTAGAGGTGTTACAAGAGAGTAACAAACACACACACAAAAAAAGAAAGAACAAGGGAGAGAGATAGGGACGATAGATGTTTGATAGTAAAAAAACAAAAAAGAAGAAGAAGAAGAAGAAGCAAACCACACAAGAGCACCCGCCAACCACCCATCATAAGTCCCGTTTCGTTTGAGTCTGAGTTACAATAGCGGTCATTTAGGGTGAGGACAAAAAAAAGATAGATAGACAGACAGAAACAAAAGGGGTAGGCTAAAACGTTTTGGTTTTTAAAAAATTATTTTTTTAAAAGGATCTACTAGTGTCGCCTTCCAACCAACCAGCCGGTCCGGTCCGCATAACGGACAAATGAACAAACGAGCGTTACAGAAATGAACTTATTCGTCTTCCCGGCAAACATCACGTGATTCACGCATCACGAGACTTGTACTGGTTCAAATTCTGTGCCTTTTTATAATTACAAGTGCCTGCAGGAAAAAACAAAAACAAAAAAAAAGAAGAAAAAAAACAACCAAAAAAAACACAACACTTTTCGAAAAGGGACGAGATAACGGCGAGCATGTCATTCAATTTAATTTGATTTTTTGCTAAAGACGCAGTTTTACTAAGAGTTTTACGGCACTTGAAACAAATTTAGGTCATGTAAGCGACAAAGACAGATAAAAAAGGATGCTCAGGACAGGCTTCGCTGGAGTAATGTTGTTGATGGCCTGTGCTCCACTGGGAGTTAAAAAGGGCAAGAGAGAAGCGACAAAGATTAGAGGTGTTGTTACCAGGTGTAATTACATGCGTATACAAACAAATGAAGGAGGAGAGAGGAGGACGATCACGACAGATGTTTGAGAGGAAAGAAGAAGCAAACCACGCCAGAACAGCCACCAACCAGCCGCAGCGTGTTTGTTTTTACGGCACATGCAACACAGTAAGGTCATATAAGTGTCGAAGATTAGAGGTGTTACAAGAGAGTAACAAACATAAGAAAGGAGGAGGAGAGATAAGGATGATTGGAGGGGTTTTTTTATACGAAAGAAGGAGCAAACAACACCAGAGCACCCATCAACCAGCCGTAATTGATACGAAACACATCATGATTTTGTTTGTTTTAGTGGAGGTTTTACGGCGCTCGCAACTGCATAAGGTCATATGAGCGCCAAGGGGTGGATGTCAACAGAGAAGTCCTTACAGGGAATCAGACTTAGACTGCTCACCTCTCTAGCTTCAACAGCACAAAGTCTGCTTCTACTATCGAGGCACCCCGGAAATAGCGGGTCACAAGAGTGTGACGAACATACAAAAGAAGTAGATAAAAAATGACGATAGTGAGGATTAGGAAAGAAAAAGCAGCAGTTCCTTGTTGCAGTTCAGGTACAGTTATGAGCAGATGATTGATAAATCAACCCATTAACGATTACAATTCCACGATGCATAAGAACTCGAGACGTTAATGCCCCCCCC